TGATTTAAGATGCTTACCTGGACTTGCTGGGGTTGTTGAACCTGTATCTGCTGCTCTGGCTGAGTTTGCTGCTGGACACTGGTTGTCACAGGACAAGCAAGTTCAAGCAAAGACCCAGCCACCTCTGTGCTGTCCGTGTAAATACAGTTGCCACCCTGCTGATACACCATTGTGGTGGTGGCCGTCTGCTGAAACTCCTGCAGAGCTTCCGGCCCCTTAGAAGCCAGGGAGTCCAGAAACTCCTTCATCCTGTGCTGGGGGATCGATCGCGCCTTCACACGGATGTATTCTTCAAAGGAAATGGTGTTCTCCAGAGAATTATTCATATTGCAAGGTCCTTAGGGTTCCTTAAGGAAAGAGAAAGTAAAAGTCTTAACTACAGCACTCCTTTGATGCAAGGATATTCCTAACTCCAGTAAGCAATTTCTCATACTGAGTACCGTATGAAAACTAGCAAACATGCACAGCCAGATGCCAGAGACAGATGCTTTAGTTTTATGAGGCATCTTCTGCTACTGCACATTTCTCAGATTAACCCTTAGCAGCTCAGGAAAGTCTGAATGATATTCAGGTGTAACTGTGGTACTATTCACAGAGCTCACTGCCACGTAGAATCTTCTAGCCTTGTACTTCACCCAGGCCAGGTGAGTCCCATAACAGACAAATCCAAGTCATACATTTCATTCATTTGCAGCATGCAGTATTAGTGAGAGAAGCTCAGAAATCAATATCTGTGGCCCTGTGTTGCAACCACAGGGGCGGGAGAACCGAGCAGTATGTTCTCTCAGGCCATGCAGTTCTATTCTAGGCAGCTAATGGGAAGCACAAAGGAAGAGCAACAGATGCAGCATTCAGCCCACTGCTATTAGGACTAGGACAGCCTTATCGATTGGAACATAGCAAGCAAAAGGAGAGTGCTGGAATCAGGAGATTCCTCAAACAGGGAACTACACACACAGAGAAGCAGAGCTCTGGAAATGACAAAGGCAACAGCAGCATCAGTTCTTGATGTCCTCTTAATATAGGGAGAGGTTAACATGAAACATGCGATGTGTGAAGACAAAGGAGAGACAGAAAAAGAAATCAAATGAACAGAGAAGTAGTGAGAGCAACAAAAAAAATAAATAATTAAAAAAAAAGACTCCACCTGAGAACATTAGAAAGCTCTAGGGCATACTCTGACAGCATTCTTCTCTTATTGACTTGTCTTGTTTAAACCCACAAATTGTTTCTGCAGTGAGTTTACTGGTTGTTTCTAAGGCACTAATTAGTCTCGATAAAGGATGAATAGATTTGAGCTATAACACTGCCAGATACTGAGATGGTTGTGAAAAGAGGTGAAACTGCACAAAGATTAGGACTAGAAGAGGCAATTCAGTACTACTAGATCAAGCTGCAAAAAGGAGGAAAAAGGGACAAACATCACTATATGTACATTATGACTGTAGTTCTAAAGAGAATAGGTACAAAAGCAGAACCTTTTATATCATTTTACCATGATTTTAACAAAGTGGAACCAAGACAGAAATGCATGGTTGAACATGAGACTGCAAGAGCCTGTGTGAAAATGGGAGTTAGCTCTAGGCTGTCAGTGGTGCCCAAGCATATTCCACAAGTCCAGCTCCAATTCCCACCAAAACCAGAGGGAACTAGAGCAAATTCTAACCACTCTTTACCATTACGTGACAGCGGTCTAAACACACAGAAGTTTTTGTTTACATGGAAGAGGTTCATGGCTAGTGCATTGGACCAGGCTCACAGGAGAAAGAATGAATACCAAAGGTAAGGGGAACACACATGAGGCAACCTGTGCTCTATCTATAGTTTCTGGAGTTATCAAGCAACATTTGTTGCTGTACGAGATTACTACAGAAAATAAGTCTTAAAGCATGCACCAGTGTTTAGTAAAAAGCACCAGCTAACAGTGTTCGTTTAGCAAATCAAACAACTCTTAAAAGTCAGCATACAGAACCTCCCGTAGAGCCCACAGCTGGGCAGAAAAACAATTCTCCTTCCTTTTAGAGACTCTCATTTGAGTTTTTCCAAGCCATCTCCACATGACAGAGCCAGGAAGACTATTCAGTTAGTTGCCAAGTGGTTTCCTCCAGGAGCCACCCAAGAGTACCCTACACCTCTACAGGACACGTTATTAACCCTTTCCCAAGTGACCGTATGTCCAGGGTGAAACCAAGGGAGAACAACCTTGTTAATGCGCCCTCCGTGACACAGACAGGATCTACACTGGGCACACCTGAACACATCTTGCATCTAATTGTAAGATGCTCCGTTACATACTCTGAAGCTGGATTTTGAGCAATTAACTGGTCCCGATTTTCTACTTGGAAGTTACAAATACTTGACTTCAGTATTACAGTTCGGCTTTCAGAAGAGCACAATCGTTGTGCGTGTCCACTCTGAGGCACACCGGCAGACACAGCTCTCGAAGGGAAGGCTCTCAGGAGGAATAAGCCTCCAGGAGCTGGGAACCCGCTACAGGTGCTCTTTGAGATTAACGTGCTCTTTCACAGCTAGTTACTGCTGAATAGGGTGGGCTCACCTCTCAGCAAAGGTCCTGCCTTCCTCTTTGCTCCTGCATTGGTGCTTATTATGTTGTAACGACTCAGGAAATAGCTATTCACCTTCTGTTAACCTTGTCAAAGGAGAGAGGGAGAGGTCAGCAGGGCCTCTGTTTTCCAAAGCAGCTATCTGTTAGCCCTCGCATTTGCTTTTACAACTCCAACCCTCTTGTCAAGAGCTGCTCACATCGTGCTCCTGTGTAGCAGAGACCAGAAACCACCACAAACCCAGACACGTAAGCAGCAGGCCTAAAGATCAAGAAGAGATCCAACACCAAATCATCACCTACCTCTTCCAACCACCAAGAAGTAGAACAAACACAGAATTTATTTCTTAGATACAAATCCTTGACTCTGTTCAGCTGCTCTTAAATCGTTCTTTTTAGCACCAATATCAAGAGTGTACTGGGCCAGTCTTCCCCTACCACCAAACCTTCCTCTGTCACAAGCTGTCAGAAAGAATCTCTCTTTTTCCTCTCTTCTAGCATGAAAAAAAACACCAAACTTCCTTTATATTTGCTTGAAGTTACTACACTGAGAGCCACTAACACCTTAAACAGCGAGACGCTCATCCGAGCCACTGCAGTCCTTGAAGCCCCAAGCATGGATCAGACCCGACCGTGCCACGTGGTGTTTGCTCCTGCTCTGGAACAGCAGCAGGATCCTCCTTTGGTTTTCTCTAGAGCTCTCCAACTCTGGCAATCAGAAAGGAGCTAAAGACTGCAGGTTAACAGTGCAGGCTGGACTAAGTTTCTCCCAGAATCATTCCTGTCAGTTTGAAGGCTGCGTGGGATTATTTAATTAAAAGCACTGAGCCACTCAAAACTGCACTTCACAGAACCCTACCAGCCGCAGAGGTTTCAGGCCTAGATGAAGATTCAGGAAAATAACGCTGTACTCCCAGAAATTTTATTTATTAAAACTAAACCCACCTGCATTGATGACAGAAACCCTCTTTAAGGCTTAAGTGTGCATTCAACAGGCTTTTGTAGGGCAACATACACAGCTTGCTGCTGCAGTCACCATTTTTATTGTTATTAAAAAAAATACTAATTTACGCATCCCATTTATCCCATAGACACGCATTAGAAACAGCAAACACCTGTCTTAACCAGTTCTCAGCAGCATGTTTTTAATACTGCATTTCAGAATTAAAAAAAGCATCCGAGCAATAAGCTTTCTCTGATAAAGGGAGGTAATTCCTCCCTGTTCAGTATAACTGCATTTTTTTTTTCAGGAAATAAGTTCAAGAAACTCTTTGAAGATCATGAGCACATACGGTTAGTTCATAAAACTCAGACTGAGGTTACTGAAAACACACACACAACTTGCAGCATGTGGACAATCTGGACTCACCAGTCACCATGTTGCATGTATTTCTGCTGCTCTTGTCCTGAGCTCTTAGACTTGTAACGTTCTGGAGAAGACAGAACAAAGAAGCCCTTTCCATCCCCAGTTCCTCTTTCTTTATTAAAGCCATTTTATTTTTAATATGTATTCCATTAAGAAAAAAAAATATCAAGAAAGAAAGGTATGATCATCCACGCAGCTAGCAGCTCCTACTGAAGAATTGCGAGGTGCCCAATTCCTAACCATTGTGTCCCTCAGCCTGATCAGTGTTACTAGGAACGAGAGTGCGAGCACATCTGTCACGGGGCACAGAGCACTCGCACCTCGCGGTGACGAGCGCAGCGCAGCCGGTGACACCGGAGTTACTGGAAGACAGAACTTAGAACAAGGCAGCAGCAGTGACCGTATCCAGAGGTCCCCCCTGCTCCCCCCGCAGGTGCTCCCGGCCCGGCCGCCGCGGCCCGGGACAGACGGGAACGACACACACCGCGCCGCCACCCAGCCCAGACGAGGCGAAGCTCCATATTTAGCCCCTGAGATCATCGGCCGCGGCTCGGCCTCTCCCCTGTTCGAGTGGGGGACGCCGAGACCGCGGGGCTTCCTCCTGCGGCGCGGCCCGGCCAGCTCCCCGCCGCCGCCTTTGT